AAAGAGGGTTTTGTGGCCTAATTGGATATGTTTTATCATTTACGAACTGTATGTGCAATTGTGGTTGATTGGATTGGTATTGGTGTTGTTATTGTAGGTTGGACAAATGAAGCATTTAAGGGGAAATGCTGTCCGAACCTTGAGTGTATATAATTGCTTTGAATTTGTGAGTTAGGGCTTCGATTTGGACAAGGTAATGAGATATGATGGATGATTCCTGAGCCGTGGAGGTGAGTGACCTTAAACTGTTTCCAAAGTTACTTTTGAAATGTTTCTTGCATTGTTTCTTTGGTTGCATCTCCTGTGTGCCGGCATACGAGTTCTTGACATGGTTTGGCTTTAATGAGTTCTTGAGGAGTCTTGTGCTGGACACCAACGTCTCCACCACTTTCGTGAGTTTGTGATATGATCTGGGGCACCGATGCTGCTCCCCCTTATTGTTTATGATTTTGTGATCTATTTGAGCGTTGGGTGTTTAGTTTCAATGATTTCACTGGCTCACGAGAGCAAAAATACGTGCATTTGATACTTGAATCATGACATCATCGAAACACATTATTGTGAAATATATTTGCTTACTGATTTTAATGGTTACTCACTGAGCTTCTAGCTCACCCCAAAAACTATTTTATTCCCCTCCACAGGGCTCGTGGCGAAGGAAGAGCTTGTAATACTTATTCATGCGACTGGATGGCCTATATTTTGTATAGTTTAGTTTTGGAATTCCTCCTGTACCATAGTTGGTATCAAGGATTAGAGTGGCGCAGCGGAAGCGTGGACGCTTCGCTTTTGATATGTAATTCTTGGATAATTGATGTATATTTGAGATTTATCTTGTAATTTAATTGAGGACGTTAGTGAGTGACTGAGTCCCGGTGAAAGTTGGGCAGGCGACCCGCGGAACCCTTTGGTTCGCCTTAGGGGGGGTGGGGTCGTCACATTCGAGGTACCCTTTAGGCCAAACGTCTTAAAAACGGCAAAACGGAATTCACAAGGCAACTTGCCTTGGAAATTTTGAAATCTTGGTGATTTAGTTCACCAACCTCCTGTGCATATCTATCCATGAAATTTGGTAGAGGGATAGCCCTTATATGGTAGTATAATCATACCAAATTTGGTGTTATTTCGAAACCGTTTCGATATTCAACTAAACTCCCAAAGTTCAAGAATCCTATTTGGAAAACCCTTCTTTAACAAGGAAATTTTGGTAACTTTGGGTCACCATATCTTGGTGCCCAAAACTTCAATCTTCATTTCACTTATTCCATTATAAACTTGGCATGCGACTCTAATAGAGATCCAAATTTCAGAGGCTAGTTCAAATCGAGTGAATTTTGCCGAATTTCCAAACTTGGCCAAAAACCAACTTGAACCTACCTTGATAATGCAAGTTATCATCTTCAAGCTCAAATTTGAATACCTTCCGCTTAAATTTGTGGCATGGTTCTTTCTAAGAAATTTTAGTACATTAAAATACGTTTCCAAGGTACCAAATTTACCAATTTTTTACAATCGAAGAGTGAGTTATGATTTTTCAAAGATTGTACCAAAAATCAAAAATTCTGAACATTTGAAATGAAATCCGCGCGGGAAGCATTTTGCTGGAATCCGGCCTTGAATTAGGCCAGTTTTTGGCCGGATAGTCGGCCAGATTGCTGTTGGGATCTGAAAAAAATTGAGGATGGCTACTGCCTCCACTCCGGCATAGAATCCGGCCGGATTCCGGCCAGATTGTGACGTGGCCAGTCCACTTTCGACTTCGGTCATTCATTTCGAGAATTATTCGCACGTACTCATTCCCATCCAATGATTTTAAGGATAGTAAATCCATTTTTTTTACTCGAGTCTTATAACTCGTTCTAGTTTCGATATAAAAACAAAGGAACCTGATCTCGATTTTTGAGGTACTTTCTAGACCGTGTTAGTGTGCAACTCTCCTCATTCTTTGGAGATTATTAGTAATAGTCTATTGTTAATTGTTCAAACACCCAAGAGGAACTTTAAGAGGATCCCACGGTGGACGTTTGAACTTCCAGTGCCCTTTTCTTCTCGTTTTACTTGATGAGTGTCAAGTGTGTGTTATTTGAACTATCGTGAACCAGATACATATTTACTTGTTATTGATACTTGAGATTTTAAAATTCGAGACGGGGGTGTACTTTATCGCACCCGTTCTCACTTGAAATAAATGACTCGCACTTGAAATACTCGAATGTCTCAATTGCTTGCACATGTTACTTGCTTGCTTGACTTGAAATAGTATGTTATGGCTGCATACGTCGTTGGAGTGAATCTCCTCGACACTCGAACATGCTTGGAGGACATTAGTGAACCTTGGACTCGAGCCGGCATGGGCTTGGTCGGGCTCCTTGGTAAACCATGGGAAAAATTGAAAAGCTTGATCTAGTGAGAGATCTTGCTTGGCATACTCGAGTAGTATTGCCTTAAACAAATGACAGGAAGGCCCGAAACAGGGGTATGTAAGGTGAAAGGGGACAGATTAAGTGGAGTTCTACGGACTAAACCTACCCGATTGACGGAGTGTCAATTCGTGGAGGTTATTGATCGTGCAAGTGGAACATAACTCCTGAGAGCTCCAGTATTCTTGAATTGTTTATGATTACTTTTCTCATAAATTGTTAATCATTGGATATATTATTGCTCAGCTTGTCTATTTGGGATTGTTATTTGAATAATGTGCTTGCATGTGTGTTCTTGGCCTCACGAGCGTTTTGCTCACCCTGTAGATTTGTTTTCCTTAACAGGATTGGGTTTGGAATGAGACTCGGAGGAAATTTCCATTTTTAGTACTTTTGTGGACTTTTGTAATAAGGATCCAATTCTATTGACTAGACATTTTAGTTATTGTATATTTTGGAATGTATTTGATAACCCATTATATGGATTTGATAATTATTAAATATTGTTAAACTTGAACGTTTTCGCACTAATTGCAAATATATTATCTGGATGTGATGTCTAGTACCGTTATAAGCTTAAACGTAAATTGCTTGACTCTTGGCGAGAGTTGGGCAGGCGTCCTGCGAATACCCTTTGGTTCGCCTTAGGGAGAAGTAGGGGCGACACAATTGGTATCAGAGCGCTAGGTTAGCGCTAGGTTAGGGATCTATATGGGAGACATATTAGATACTCTACCCTTAAGACCTGAGACCGAATAGTTAAGTTACACTTTAAGGGGTATTTGGACCATACTAGTGATTGGATTAGGCATGCATAAACGACGTCCGGACTGGATAGTGATTTAATTTCTAATCCGAAAGGTGCTGTTATTTTGCAGAGATGGAAAACGGAAATGGAGTTTCGGCAGCTAACGGGAATGGCCATGCGAATGGTCATGTAGTGCCTCCTAGGCCTATCTACTACCGAGCGCTAGGTGGGAGAGATCGAGTACGCTATTTTTCATCTGACAAATATCCCCGATGTTCGTGTAGGATTACCTTTGCCCACCCGAACCACCTCGTGCTTGCTCTGGACGACGAGCGTCGTCAGTTAGTGGATCTTAACAGGGATTTTCAGGCAGATGTGGACGAGTTTAGACAGATGGTTAGCACTCAGGGCGAGAGGATCGTCGAGCTCGAGGAGGTGATAAAGGGCGAGGTAGCTACATCTGCTATTGTTAATGAGGAGTTTCGGAGCACTAGGGCTCAACTTACTAGGTTGAGGGAAGAGGTTCGTGATAGGGCTTCCGGGATCCTAACTGATGCCACTAGGCTAGTGGATGAGGCGATGGGAGTAGCTCAGAACTCTGAGGAGGAGGAGGATCCTGAGGAAGAGGTTCTTCCTGATAGTCCTACTGCAGACTAGGTCTAGGCAGATTGACCTCTCTTTTGACCCTTTTGACTAGTACCACTAGGTTTAGCAGGGGTGATGCTAAGTGCTGAGACCATTGTATTTTGCATGACTGTGTGGCTTATTTTTGAAACACTTGCTTTTACTTTAGTCTTCTGTGACTAAAAGTACTCTTGTGACACCTGTGTGATATTTTTTTGTGACTACCCCATGACTTGCTAATTGTATGAACTTGATATGCTAATGAATGTAAATTATTGTTATTTTCAATATTTTCTTGATTTGTTCCTGTTTTCTATTTTGCACAGCATAATTTACTTATTTCTTGCACTAGGCACGCCTAGGTTATGGAAAGGCTAAGAATGGATCGAGGCCATGGTCGAGGCTGTGGGCGAGGTACTAGACAGGCCCAATCTCAAGAGAATGATCAGGGATCGGCAACTGGACTGACCTAGGGCCACGAAAATATTGAGGGTAATCAAGTGGCTACTTCCATTAATAGGATGACTGATATCCTAGAACGCTTAGCTGATAGACAAGGTCCTGGACCGCTTAACCAAACTGGGGGACAGGATAGGGGTGAGGATAGAGCCTTAGAGAGGTTCTTGAAATTTAACCCGCCTAAGTTTCTTGGTGAACCTGATCCTGAGGTAGCAGAGAATTGGTTAGAAAGGATGACCAACATATTCACTGCTTTAGACTACACTGAGAATAGGCGAGTGAATTTTGCAACCTTCCAGTTTGAGGGAGTAGCTCGTGCTTGGTGGGACATGGTGAAAGAAAAATGGGAAAGAGTTCAAACCCCTTAGACTTGGGAGAATTTTACGAGAGAGTTTAATGAAAAATTTCTTTCGCCCTTAATCCAAGAAAAGAGAGAGGATGAATTTATCAAATTGAAATAGGGGACTCTTAGTGTAGCGGAGTATGAGGAAAAATTTACTAAACTTTCAAAATACACCCCTGAATTGGTAACTAATGAATGGAAGAGGATAAGGCAATTTGTACAAGGGTTCAATGTGGAAATTTAGGAGGGTTTGGCCGCAGCCCAAATTTCTACATTTACTGAAGTTTTAGAGAATGCACAAAGGGTTGAGAGTGCAAAATTGCATGTGAGAGACTTTCACAATAGAAAGAGACATTTTTCTGGCTCTGCATCCGGGCAGGCTAGTAAGAGTGCACAACCTTCCAAAATGGGAAGAGGAACAAGAGGAACAAGAATTGCTGGAGTTTCTAGGAGAGTTCTATCTAGAGGAGGTCGTGGTGGCCCAACTCAAGTTAGGGGAGCGCTTTCTACTGATTCGGCAGTGACCCTTCAGGTTACTTGTGGATATTGTGGGAAACCCAATCACTCCGAGAATGACTGTTGGAGAAAGTCGGGGAAGTGTTTATTTTGTGGTTGTGCTGAACATCAAGTCGCGAATTGTCCGAAGACACAAAAAATGGGAAGTAACACTCAGAGGCCAGAAAAGTCAACCTCTAAGCAGACCAGTGCTGGAAGAAGTCGACCGAAAGTGCCGACTAGAGTTTATGCCCTGGACTATCAGCAGGTTCCTGAGGCGACTGAAGTGGTTGAAGGTACAATTTCAATCTTTCATCATTTAGCTAGAGTTTTAATTGATCCGGGTACAACACTTTCTTTTGTAAACCCTAACTTTATGAGTGGGATAGACTTGAAACCAATTAAGTTACCGTATGACTTGAAAGTTAAAATACCTACTGAAGATCAAAGTTTAATTGCTAACCTGGTATATAGAGATTGTGAAGTTTGTGTCGGGAAACAAAAACTATTGGCCGACCTGGTAGGTTTAGCAATTAAGGGATATGATGTGATTTTAGGAATGGATTGGCTAGCCTGTTATAATGTCCAGTTGAATTGTAGGACGAAAATTGTACAATTGTGTATTCCAGGGGAGGCAACCCTGAAACTGGACGTAATGGGTAAATTGGCTTCATATGCACTTATTTCGGGAATTCGGACTAGAAAATTATTAAGTAAAGGAGTTCAAGGGTATTTGACTTTTCTTATTAACACCCCTAGTAATAAAGTGAATTTGGAGGACATGCCTGTAATGAAAGATTTTTCAGATGTTTTTTCCAAAGAATTAGAGTCTCTACCTCCAGAACGAAAAATTGCTTTTAAGATTGATGTGACTCCGGGAGTGACACCTATCTCTAAGACGTCATATCGGATGGCTCCAACTGAATTGAAGGAGTTGAAATTGCAACTGCAAGACTTGCTGGAAAAGGTTTTATAAAAGAGAGTGATTCTCCGTGGAGAGCCCCAGTTTTGTTCGTTAAGAAAAAGGACGGGAGTTTGAGGCTATGTATAAACTATAGAGGTTTGAATGAGGTCACTATTAAGAATAAGTACCCATTGCCCCACATTGATGAATTATTTGACCAATTGCAAGGGGCTGTAGTATTCTCGAAGTTGGATTTGAGACAGGGTTATTATCAGTTGAGGATTTTGGAGAAGAACATACCCAAGACTGTTTTTAACTTGAGATATGGGTATTTTGAATTTATTGTGATGCCGTTTGAGTTAACAAATGCACCTGCTGCTTCATGGATTTAATGCATAGGGTCTTTAAACCTTATCTAGATCAATTTATGATGGTCTTTATTGATGATATATTGGTGTATTCTAAAAATGTGAAGGACCAAGAGAAGCATTTGAGAATTATTTTGCAAACTTTGAGGGAACATCAATTATATGCTAAGTTTAGCAAGTGTGAGTTCTGGTTAAAAGAAGTGACTTTCTTGGGACACATAATTTCTAAAGATGGGATTAAAATGGATCCAGTTAAAGTTAAAGCTGTTTTGAAATGGAAACGACAAGAAAATCCTACCGAGGTTCGGAGTTTTATTAGATTAGCAGGGTATTACCGGAGATTTATCAAGGATTTTTCTAGAATTGCTGGACCAATGACCGAGCTGACTAAAAAAAGTGAAAAGTTTATTTGGAGTCCTAAGTGCGAAGAGAGTTTCTAGAAATTGAAAAGACGCTTAACCAAAGCCCCAGTATTAGCTCTATCCAATGGGAAGGATAGTTTTGTGGTTTACACAGATGCATCTAAGGAAGGTTTGGGGTGTGTTTTGATGCAGAATGACAAGGTGATAGCATATGCCTCTAGAAAATTGAAACCGCATGAGGGAAATTACCCGACCCATGACTTGAAATTGGCAGCGGTGATATTGCTTGAAAGAAATGGAGACATTACTTGTATGGAGTAACGTTTGAAGTTTTTACTGACCACAAAAGTTTTAAGTACTTATTTTCACAGAAGGAACTGAATTTGAGGCAACGTAGATGGATGGAATTTCTATAAGACTATGATTGTACGATTAAGTACCATCCAGGGAAAGCTAATGTAGTGGCTGATGTTTTGAGTCATCAAGTACAGATGGCTGGATTGATGATTAAGAAATTCTAATTATTGAAAGAAGTTAGTTATTGGAATCCTCGACTAGAACCGAGGAAAGTAATTTTGGGAAATATTGTATTGAATTCCACTTTGATGGAACGTATCAAGGAATCTCAAGAAAAGCACACTGAAGTGCAGAAGTGGTTGGAAAATGTTAAAAAGGGAGACAAGTCAGACTTTAACTTGGGATCGAATGGAGTATTGAGATTTCGGAATCGAGTAGTTATACCAAAGGATGAAGGGCTTAAAAAGAAAATTTTAGAAGAGACACACCGATCAAAGTTTATGATTCATCCAGGAGGGAATAAAATGTACCAAGACTTAAAAAGTCTGTATTGGTGGGAGAACATGAAGAAGGAGATTACTCAATTTATCCAAATATGCTTAATTTGTCAACAGGTTAATGCCGAACATCAGAAACCATCGGGACTTTTGCAACCTCTAGAAATAGCTAAGTTGAAATGGGAGAATATCACCATGGATTTTGTATCGGGATTACCAAGAACACAGAGAATCCATGATGCGATTTGGGTGATAGTGGATAGATTGATCAAATCGGCTCATTTTCTGTCAATTAACATGAAGTACCCATTGGAGAAGTTGGCCAAGTTGTATTTGGATGAGATCATTAAGTTATATGGAAACCCTGTCAGTATCGTGCTGGATAGAGATCCAAGATTTGTTTCGAAATTCTGGCAAAAGATGCAAGAAACTTTAGGGACTAAATTGAACAGTCTGAAATGACAATTCAGACAATTCAGACAATTCAAACTAAAGCGATGGACAGTCTGAAATGACAATTCAGACTCTTGAAGATATGTTGAAAACTTGTGTTCTGGATTTTGGAGAGAGTTGGAGTAAGTTTTTAACTTTAGTGGAATTTGCCTATAACAACAGTTTCCATTCTTCTATTCAAATGGCTCCGTATGAAGCGCTTTATAGTCGAAAGTGTAGATCTCCGATTTGTTGGGAGGAAGTAGGTGAACGGAAGATCTTAGATCCGACCACAGTGTCATGGATTGAGGAAGTTAATGAGAAGGTAAAGTTGGTACGCCAGAGAATCCAGACTGCCCAGAGCCGTTAAAAGAGCTATGCCGATAATTGGAGAAAGGATTTAGAATTCGCGGTTGGAGATCTAGTGTTTCTCAAGATCACACTGTTGAAAGCAAGTTTGCTGTCTGGAAAGGGAAAGAAGTTACAACCAAGGTTTGTAGGATCTTATAAGGTTATTCAGCATGTGGGGAATGTAACATACAAATTGGAATTACCGCCGAGTTTATCTCGAATCCATAATATATTCCATGTGTCTATACTTAAGAAGTACCACCCAGACCCTTCACATTTCTTACAACCAGAAAGTATTGAGATTGATGAGACCTTAACCTATGAGGAGAAACCGGTTAAGCTTCTGGATAGGAAGGTGAAGGAATTGAGAAATAAACAGATACCATTAGTAAAAGTCCTCTGGAAGAACCATGGGTTGGAGGAAGCAACTTGGGAGGTCGAGGAAGCAATTCGAGAAAAGTATCCAGGCCTGTTCACCAATCAAGATAAATTTCGAGGAAGAAATTTTTCTTAAAGGGGAGAGGATGTGAGGACTCATAAAAATTATTTTTTTTCGACCCCTATTTTTGTTCATTTAATTATTTATCCGAATATTTGCTCCGATTATTATTTTCTAACCTTATTAGACTTAAATACATTGAATTATGATTTCATTATATTTTTAAAGTGACTCGTTTCAAAAATTAATTTTTGGAAGCTCGATTAATGTAAATAGTGAAAACGTGTCTGAAAACTTTAACCAGTTGGGAGTACAATAAGTTCGAAAAATTGGAGACATATACTATGGTCCTAAAATAGGTACTTTTAGGTTTAAATACTCAAGTGAAGTTAGTGGTACGATCATTATAAGAATCTCTCGAAGGTTTCAATCTATCGCGTCTAAATTGGAAATACGTATTTTCACGCGCACGATTAATTGAGGAACTTTAAACCATTATTTTGGGACAATTAAGAGTGAATAATATTTATATGAATATAAGTGTATTGGAGGTTTAGTGCACTAGTGAAATAAACTCGAGAGGAATCGAGTACAAAATGCGCGCGTATACGCACTGAGGAGAGTTGACTTATGCACCAACTTGGGCCACACATTGAAACTTCTCAAGGAAGCTACATTTTTTATCAACTCTCTCTCTCTTCCTCACAAGAACAGCCGGCCATCAAGCTGCAAAAACAACACCCAAGTTCTTTATTTTTCATCTTCATGTCTTCCACAAAAACACCACCAAATGCCACCAAAATTTAACCATAGTTAACATAACACTTGGAGAGTTCATCTAGCTACAAAAGAAGGGAGCTTTCCACGGTTTTCTTGGACCAAGAGAGGACCGAAATTTCTGCTCAGCTCATCAACCAAAGTAAGTAATGATCAAACCTTCTAGTTTTGATTTATGGAAGTTCTAGTACACCTTTAAACTCTTGTATGCATGTGGGTGATTTGTTTATGATGGAAAAACGGTTATGTGGGCTCTATAAACTCCCACTTTGGTTGATGGACTGATTTGGTGGTTGATGATGATAATTATGTTGGTTTAGTGCTTAAATTAGTGGTATAATATTGGGTCATTGTTAGAAACTCAAAGATGGTGCAATGACCAAAAGTGACCATTTTGCCCCTGTCTTGTTCGAGCACTTTAATGCCAAATTTTGAGGTTCTAATGGCTTGTATATGTTTTTTATATGTTATACTGATTGTATAAAAAGTTTCATGGAAAAATAACATGATTTGGTTGATTAAATGAAGTGATTTCCAAAGTTTAGAAATCTGGAAAAGTTTCCCGTATTGGCCCAGGCAGTCATCTTGTTTCGGCCATAACTCTTTACTCCGATGTCAAAATCGAGTGCCATTTATTGCACGGGAAACTAGACATTCTCAGATTTCCATTGGTATAAAATTCACATTCTGGTTCCACTTGAGTGAGCCACACCATTCGTTTGGAAATCACTGTCCTGTTTCGCTCATAACTGGAAGGCAGATTATGAACTGTGATTTGATGCTAAAAAATGAGCAAGTTGTGAATGGATTTTGAAAATGGTTTCTTCTAAGAAATTATAGCTGGATGAAATTATTTTCCAACTCCACCAAACACGCTCAATTCTAAGGTGAATTGAGTGAGTTGTGGCCAAAGTTTGAAACTGACTCAAAGAGAGGATTTCTCCTTTTGAACTAAATCCTTAGCTAATCTCGGTTTGGGACTTGTACTCGAAAATTCTTGGTGTTAATCACCCCAAATGTTGTCTTGAACACCTCTTAGATATTTATATGTAAATGGACCATGTTTGAGGTACCCTTTAGGCCAAACGTCTTAAAAACGGCAAAACGGAATTCACAAGGCAACTTGCCTTGGAAATTTTGAAACCTTGGTGATTTAGTTCACCAACCTCCTGTGCATATCTATCCGTGAAATTTGGTAGAGGGATAGCCCTTATATGGTAGTATAATCATACCAAATTTGGTGTTATTCCGAAACCGTTTCAATGTTCAACTAAACTCCCAAAGTTCAAGAATCCTATTTGGAAAACCCTTCTTTAACAAGGAAATTTTGGTAACTTTGGGTCACCATATCTTGGTGCCCAAAACTTCAATCTTCATTTCACTTATTCCATTATAAACTTGGCATGCGACTCTAATAGAGATCCAAATTTCAGAGGCTAGTTCAAATCGAGTGAATTTTGCTGAATTTCCAAAGTTGGCCAAAAACCAACTTGAACCTACCTTGATAACGCAAGTTATTATCTTCAAACTCAAATTTGAATACCTTCCGCTCAGATTTGTGGAACCGTTCTTTCTAAGAATTTTTAGTACATTAAAATACGTTTTCAACAGTACCAAATTTACCAATTTTTGACAATCGAAGAGTGAGTTATGATTTTTCAAATATTGTACCAAAAATCAAAAATTCTGAACATTTGAAATAAAATCCGCGCGGGAAGCATTTTGCTGGAATCCGGCCAGTTTCTGGCCGGATAGTCGGCCGGATTGCTGTTGGGATCTAAAAAAAATTGAGGATGGCTACTGCCTCCAATCCGGCCAAGAATCCGGCCGGATTGTGACGTGGGCAGCCTACTTTCGATTTCGGTCGTTCGTTTCGAGAATTATTCGCACGTACTCGTTCCCATCCAATGATTTTAAGGATAATAAATCCTTTTTTTTTTGCTCGAGTCTTATAACTCGTTCGAGTTTCAATATAAAAAAAAAAGAACCCGATCTCGATTTTCAAAGGAACTTAAACTCGATTTTCGAGATACTTTCTAGACCGTGTTAGTGTGCAACTCTCCTCATTATTTGGGGATTGTTAATAATAGTCTATTGTTAATTGCTCAGGCACCCAAGAGGAACTTCAAGAGGATCCCACGGTGGACGCTTGAACTTTGAGTGCCCTTTTCTTCTTGTTTTACTTGGTGAGTGTCAAGTGTATGTTACTTGAACTACCGTGAACCAGATACATGTTTACTTGTTATTGATACTTGAGATTTTAAAATTCGAGACGGGAGTGTACTTTATCGCACCCGTTCTCGCTTGAAATAAATGACTCGCACTTGAAATGCTCGAATGTCTCAATTGCTTGCACATGTTACTTGCATGCTTGACTTGAAATAGTATGCTATGACTGCATACATCAATGGAGTGAATCTCCTCAACACTTGAACATGCTTGGGGGACGTCCACATCTCATTGGCGAACCTTGGACTCGAGCCGGCATGGGCTTGGTCGGGTTCCTTGGTAAACCATGGAAAAAATTGAAAAGCTTGATCTAGTGAGAGATCTTACTTGGCATACTCGAGTAGTATTACCTTAAATAAATGATAGGCGGGCCCGAAACAGGGGTATGTAAGGTGAAAGGGGACAGGTTAAGTGGAGTTCTTTGGACTAAACCTACTCGATTGATGGAGTGTCAATTCGTGGAGGTTATTGATCGTGCAAGTGGAACATAGCTCCTGAGAGATCCAGTATCCTTGAATTGTTTATTATTACTTTTCTCATAAATTGTTAATCATTGGATATATTATTGCTCAGCTTGTCCATTGGGATTGTTACTTGAATAATGTGCTTGCATGTGTGTTCTTGGCCTCACGAGCGTTTTGCTCACCCTATAGATTTGTTTTCCTTAACAGCATTGGGCTTGGAATGAGATTCGGAGGAAATTTTCATTTTTAGTACATCTGTGGACTTTTGTAATAGGGTTCCAATTCTATTGACTAGACATTTTAGCTATTGTATATTTTGGGATGTATTTGGAAACCCGTTATATGGATTTGGTAATTATTAAATATTGTTAAACTTGAACGCTTCCACACTAATTGCATTTATATTATCTGGATGTGATGTCTAGTACCGTTATAAGTTTGAACATAAATTGCTTGAATCCTGGCGAGAGTTGGGCAGGCGTCCCGCGGATACCCTTTGATTCGCTTTAGGGAGAAGTAGGGGCGCCACACTTGAACTAGTGTTAAATTCCAATTCTCATTTCAAACTTAACCCCTTAAGATTATCACAATTAATAGCCGTTTAATCATGATTAGAAAAGCAAAATTGATAAATAACTTGCTTAAAATAATATTATCAAATAGCCAAGTAAATATTACTAGTAAGATATAACAAGTTCATCCATAACTCTAGGCATAAACTTTAGAAACATATATTGAAATACAAATCCAAAACTTACATATTAACCATACTTAAGATTCCAATACAAAAGATAAAGAGTTGAAGAAGAGATAACCCTTGTTACATGAGTTTCAACCCCGTCTTCTTCATCTTCATTTGCATCCTAATCTAGCCAATACACAAGAGTACATAACTACCTAAACTATTCTATACTATACTGATCTAGCTAATGAACTAAGGAAATTCTAGTTTTTTTTTTCTCAAACGGTATTCTTGTTATACATATATGAACTTGATAATACAAGATCTTAGTTACATAAAGGGACATTAGTCCTATTATCCTCCTGTATACTCTCTTTGAGCCACAGGGGGAAACTTTGTTTCCAAATTACCTTGGAAACAAGTTGCCATTCTATCTAAGGAAATTCTAGTGAGACTACATTTTTGGTGAGTTTCTCTAACCTTCCAAAGTTGTGAAAATGATCTCCAAAGACTACTATTTATAGAGGATTCAACAGCCAAATGAGTTGTTTCTAGTTGTCATTTTTTACTCTTGAAACTCCCATGAGTTGTTTCTCCAACTTTCTACCTCTTCTTGGTCAAATACAACCAAAATTACTTATTGGAATTGATCTAAAGAATTGTGTGAACAAAGAACAAGTTGTAGAGCAAGTTTCAGCTGATAATAATGAATACATGACCTCGACAACGTGACCTTAGGTCGTGTATTGTATCCCAAGTATTACCTTTTGTAGGTTGCTCAATTCTGGACAAATTTCATTCTTGCTCTATTTTTTATCTAATTTCAACTGATATTTTCTCAATGATAGAGACTGAAATAGCTCTTATACAAAACATGAAAGTTATAGTCCTTTGAGTTAACTTTCCTATGTATCAAGAATCATCCAATTTGGAGCTCTATGGACTGAAACATTAAACCTAAAAAACATGAATTTTTTACCATTAAAATCCATAAAAATACAATTTTTACCACTTAAACTATAAAACGCATATTTTTTACTAGAAACTTAGTTAATTAGATATAAAAGTAGTTAAAACAAATCAAAACTAATTAATAAAACACACTTAAAATATGCACTTATTAAACTCTCCTACAATTGAACCATTGTTTGTCCTCAAACAATAAGAAATACAAACTAACAATGATCAAAAATTTTGAAAATAAACATATGTGCACAATTCAACTTCATTTCCTTAAAACAAGATAAACAACCATTATGCAATCATTTAATTAAATTCAAATACTCATAATATCAAGTAAAGGAGAGCCAATTATACCACAATTGTAATTAGTTCACTTCAATTTCTCATCCTTACCCAATTTCTCCATCAAGCAAGTCATATGATCAATAAAAATGCTTCCTAAACTCATGATCATTTTCTTATTCAAAATTAAAGAGGAATTATTTATATAGTATATCTACAATATATACTTAAGTTGTAAAGTGCCTTTTGACGCGACGATCGATATTTTTAGATGAAAATCGACGGTTATTCAACACTTCAAATTCTCAAGTTGTTTTGCATACTCTTAATTTAAGTACCGTTTTACGTGAAAGTCGATATTTTTAGATGAAAACTCCTGGTTACTAAGTACAAGAACCATTGGAGTAAAACAAATCTTATTCTCTCTCTTTTTTGTTTCTTTTTTTCTACTTTTTTTCTCTCTTTTTTTCAAAGTAAAGATAATAATTAGTCCCTCAAAAGAATAATCATGAGAAGAGTATTGCAATTATTGATCATATTTATCACTTAACTTTGTAAAATCAAGTAAAGAGAAGAAATTTCATTAAATATACAAAATTTAGACATAATTTTCTCCACTTTACAAGATACACTATCCTACAAATGTAATAAATTATAATCACATAATAGTCATTTTCAAATTAAATAAGAAATGAAGTTTTTAACTCACATACATTTATCTCAAAAGTAGAAGGAATTTGAGTTACTAATGGTATGGAACTTGTAGCCCTTTGGAAAAAATTTAAAACTTTTTTGGGGCATTTTGTAATTTTGGACAAAATTTTGAAAAAAATTTGGCAGAGTTTCCCCTTATAAATGGACAAAACTCCCTGCCAACAAACCCAGTTTTGAACAAATTAAAGCACAAGAAATATTTCCAAGGCAAGTCCAAATCATTTCAATCACAAGTCAATCACAACCAACATATATAATCTTAATTCTTCCCCCCCCCCACTTAACATGCACTTTATCCTCAATGTGTAAAAAGGAAAACCAAGATAAAAAAAAGGAATACTCCCTATTATTGGAATTGATGTTCATGAAGTGTCACAAACAATTATCTGTTTATCTCCAAAACTTCATGAGTTCCATTGGATAACCATTAATAATTGAATCTAAGAATTGAAAATGCAAAACAAACTAGGTAAGGATCAAAATGTGCAATAGTGACAAAGGCATAAAGGTTTTTTTTTTTTTTTTGCAACTAACTCTTTGCCAATGTTTCCCATGTCATCACACAACATTTTCCAAACTTTTTATGCATTTAACACAATCATCAACATTTGTTACCTAGAATATGAATTATAAGCATGTCTCCTTCTCTAGGTAATTATAACATCACCATATAATAACAAGATTAGAAGTAAAATGCAATCTAAGGAATATACATTATGATATACATTATGCACATGTTCAATTTTATCCCTAAAATGTCACTAAAATTGCTAAATTCTTCACATATTCCAAATTAATCACCCAATCAATCTCTATATGAAGATTAAGCAATCAAATTGGCTAAAATGTCACCATATAAGGAATGTATCTATGTAAGTATCATAAACAAGTCACATTTTAGCAATTTGAACCATCCAATTATGCTTAACAACATTTCAAGAGCAATTACTATATTGATCATAAAATAGGAATATGCATAAATTAAAACATTATATAGATAATCACATTCCCATATTTGATCGTCTAAACATGCTTAAAATGTTAAATAAATCACAAATTCATCATTCAAAGTGTATCATTAAACTCAAAAGATATGCAAATGACGAATTTTTAAAATACCAAGCTAGATTCAAGAAATTTACTTCAAATTGGTAGAGTGATGTTTGGTGATACAAATGATGCAAAAAGCCCTATGAAATCACCCCAATTGACCTCCAATTGATAGATTTAGAAAATGTGAACCCTAGCCTACAACCAATTTCTGAGATGTTTTATGTGAATTCTAATCATTTATAAAGGCTCTATGAAGGTTAAATGATGTTTGTTGAATGATTTCATGTAAGGAAATAATGTATAAGAGAAAACTGGTGAAATGTGTGTGAGTGTGTGTGGAAATACATGAGGTGAAAGAGAAGAAGAGAAGAAAATGCAACTTGCGTTTTGTTTTTTAAAAGAGGAACCCTAAAAACGCGACTTAAAAATGTGACTTAAAAACACGACCGTGAGCTCATGTTTTGGAGTCACGTTTTCTACTTTAATGATGCAAAAAGGAATACCCGGCTTCTAGAAAAACGCGACTTTAGGTCGCGTTTTGTTGCCTGTATTTTCTGTTTTATTGTTGCAGAATAGAATACGCAACTTGAGAAAATGCAACCTTTAGTCGCGTATTGAGTCGCGTTTAGGCCTGTCAATCGGATCTAATGAGCCAGGGTTTTATAAGCTCAAGCTTAGCTCATTTAATTTATTACACCTTCGGGCTTTGAGCTATGAGTTTTGGGTTAATAAATGTGAAGCTCATACTCAACTCACATAATATTCGAGTTGTGAGCCTTATTCAGGTTTAGCCCAAACTCATATAAAAATTTACTCAACCAATAAAAAAAGTTAGAGGTTTAGATAGACATTATCAATATTGGCTCTCAAAAAAAACCGGTAGCGTTGATTTTAACTCTTGGACGGAGAAGGAGCTGGTAGAATAAACACTACATTCTAGTCTAAATATCAACAAGAAATCAAATAATTAATGAAAATTTTTAAATATTGCTACTAACCAGTAAAATCAGGATCAAATTCTTGTTCAAAATCAATTTCCTTAGGTGCATCTTTAATCCAATCTTGAGCCCAAATTAATGCTTCAACAGTGGAGGGTAACAATGAGCTACGAAACTTGTTCAAAACACATCCTCCTTTACTGAAAGCACGCTCAGATGCAATTGAAGAAACAGGAATAGCTAAAATGTCTCTTACCATCATGGACAATATTGGAAATTTGGCTGCATCAGTTCTCCAATAATCCAATACATCAAATGATTCTTCTTCATTGGCCTTGCTTGGATATATCTTTTCCTCTAAATAAGAGTCCAACTCTATCTTGCTACAAGTGCTATCTTCTTCCTCGTCAAGGCTATAAAAATCATCCATGTAATTCTTCTTTGCTGTGAAAGAAGTGCTGCTGCCTGTCCCTGTAGTTTTTTCATTTTGTGAAGTTATATCCTGCTAACAACTCACTTCATAAGCCTTTACATATTCGATGAAAAGATCCTGAAGTGTTTTGTGAACACAATCTAACATATATGGTGCTAAATAGCTCTCATAAATCTTGCTAAAGATGGTCTTCAAATTTCTCATTTTAGACCTGGGATCTAAAACAAAAGCAACAGATAGCAAGATATTTGGCTCTTTTTCTAGCCAATATTTCTCAAATTTCACCAATATGTTCACTGCCATGCTTCCAAGAAATGGACTATCTTCTATAGAAGTTTCTCTTAATAACATGAACACATGGTAGATTTCACGAAGAAACACATTAGCTATGCAATATTTGCTGCCAGAGAAAATTTTTGTGACAGTGTAAACAATTTCTAGAAAACCATGAACAATCCGAGCTTTTTCCCAATCATCAGCCAATGGAGGATCCCTGAAGTTCAAATCACGAGTTTTCATGCGGTCATAAGCTCTCCTATAATGTAATGTAGATTCAAGCATTAAATATGTTGAGTTCCAGCTTGTACATATATCTAGAGATAACATTTTGCCTCTGGAAATACATTCCTGGTTAGCATAGTGTAGAAACTCAAGTTTTCTCTTTGCAGATCCTCTAGCATATTTCACGGCATTCCTAACCCTATGAATACAATCATTAATCTCATCCAATTCTTCTTGAACAATCAAATTAAGAACATGTCCCTAACAAGGAACTTGAATATTGCTCCTATTTACCAATAATGCACCTATAAATGAATAATGCTCTTGCAGGCATCTAGCAACAACATCATTAGTTGAAGCATTATCCATAGTTATGGTGCATATCCTATCAATATTCCACTCTAGCAAGCAATTAATAATTATATCAGATAGATTCTCCCCGGATGCCTTCATTAGAACCAAGACAAAATTGATAATTTTTTTATGCAATTTCCAATGATTATCTATGAAATGAGCAGTCAATGCCATGAAAGGAAGATCCATCTTAGATGTCCAAGTATCTGTTCTCAAACATACTCTTGGTTTGGATTGCAAAATAATCTCCTTCAATTTACTTTTTTCAAATTCATATATTTTCATGCAATCACTTTTCATTGTGTTTCTAGACACAAATTTAACCTTTGGATTAAGACCCAGAGCATACTTCTGAAGTGATTTATCTTCAACGAAATTGAATGGCAGCTCTCGATTAATTATAAGCTTTGTTAGATCTTTTCGACTACTCTCTTGATCAAATTTCCAAATAGAGTTATTAGCTCGATCTGAATTACCTTTGGGAAAACTAAAAAGTGTTTGCCTTTTTGACAATTGTCCACCCATGGCTCTTTTGTGGGCTACACATATGCCCCCAAATATATGTCGATGCAAATGAGTTGTTCCTCCTTTGCTGCGGCAGGAGAAAACTTTCTTGCAATAATTACAAGTACATTTCTCCTCCTTTGATGAAATCTTGGTGAAATGGGCCCAAACTTTGGACCTCACCTTCATTTCTCTTTTCCTCTTTTCACCTTTATTTGCTTCTTCTCCTTCAGGTTCTTGTTCGGCTGCAGTTTTTGTTGCTTCAACATCTGTGATTGTAATAACAATGTCTTCATTGTTTGCATCTGACATCTAATGCCAAAAAAAAGACATTGTTAAAGAGGTAAAGTATTTATCAAATTAAAGGATTCATAAAAGCTAGAGCTAAAGGGCAATTCCAGATAGTAAACCAAGATATATTAGACCATTACATGACCCAAAATTTGACATCCATAATTAAATCACAAAAAATAAAAAAATAAAAACCAAGGTGCAGTTTATAAGTGCCATAAAAATAATAAAAATAAAACTCTAAACAAAAAAAGGGAAAACACATTGGATCGGAGAGATAAAGGATTTGGAGACCAAAATTAAAAGTTACCTTGCCTCTGGTTTTGAAGACCGAGATTGAAAGTTGTAACTGGAGAATCCGAAGTGCGACCCTACGAGGTGGTCAGTGGAGGCGCGAAGAGTTCGAAAATTGTTGGTCTTTGCCTCTTTGGTGAAGTGGCTGGTCATGAGAGAAATGAAATGTGACGGCCTCACCTCTCCCTAGGGCATATCCCAGGGTTTATTGGACCGTCTGCCCAACTCTCGCCAGGACTCACTCACTCATGTCTCTAGAAAATAACTTATATCCCTGGAAAATAAGTAACACCACAAGTTCAAACTTAATATATACATTGATGCTCAGATCCAGTTACAAGGTTTATACATACCCAAATACATTAACGTGTTTACAGTCCGAGTCCAATCAATCCTTGTCGAGTGCTAGCTTGAGTACCATTCAAAATTCAAAACTAGACTACTCTGTACAAGTCTCACGCCTTGCTCGTACCCCCTACTAAGAAAAACAAATTGAACGGGGTAAGCTATATGCTTAGTGAATAATTGGGGGTAAAAATGTAAAAGCACATTCAATTAAGCATAGAAATCCAAATATTTTACATCAATACAGAAATGTAACATCACAGTGGTAGGATACGGGTGGCTCCAAAGCCAGTTCAATTCCCCGAACTTGAACGCCTGTTGACACTTCGTCAACCAAAATACTCATAGACCGTAGACTCCACTTAACTTTCCCCGTTCACCTTATCAACCCCCGCTAGCCAGTCAACAGCACACAACAGCTCGAGCGAAACAAAATAATTTAGCTTTCATCAAAACTTTAACAAAGAACTAAATCCCAAGGTTAGCATGGAACTATCGTCGACCAAGGCCCGGCCGGCTCGAATAGTTCGTCTATCCTTGGAATCGGGCTGGAACCTAGCCCTGAGATATCCAATCTCTCAATAGATGGTATCTCTCAACAAGGTACACAACAAAGTACTTACTCCAACAGCACACAGCAAAAGAGGTTTAATTCAAGTCATGTAATCACCCCCATCAGCACACAGCAAAAGGGTGATACTCAACATAAGGTAGGTATTCTCACATATGAAATCAAAACAAAGGATGGCTTAGGTCGAGTGAGATAAAGTACACCTTCGCCTAAGTACCCATTTAACATATACAAAACACTTTAACAATTTCACATCAATAAACAACCCAATTACTCACTTGATAAAGTTTGGCACGAAAAACGATACAAGTCACCGAGCTTGACCGTCACCGTCAAAAGTCTCATAGTCTGTATAGACAGATTATATACACACATAAGTACCCATTTAACATATACAAAAAACTTTAACAATTTCACATCAATAAACAACCCAATTACTCACTTGATAAAGTTTGGCACGAAAAACGATACAAGTCACTGAGCTTGACCGTCACCGTCAAAAGTCTCATAGTCTGTATAGACAGATTATATACACACATAAGTGAAACGACCATACAATAGCAGTTTATAACTTAAACGATCGAGAACGGTCAAAAACGGTCAAAAATAATCAAAAAATGGTACAAAACGGGTTACACGATTTTAACCATAATTGGAGCTGTGGTTATCGGATCAAAATGTACTAGATAGTGTCTCGAAGCTTAGAAAAAAAGTTACAACTTTCATGAAGACACCTCAACCCAGTTTTCAGTGTATCCAAGTCAACTTTGCAAAATACAGAACTAGAACTCCAAAGGCAAATTTATATCTCTAGCGAAAATTTGGCAGCATGCCCCTTGTTTTTACCTAATTTCCAGCCATTTATGGCTTCAATATTTTCTTCAAATAGTCCCAAAGTCACACACAAAATAATCTCATTTCAATAGCCATTCCATAGGCTCAAACTCAAACAAGTATAAAATTAAACTAGGTACATGTCCGGAAATGAAATGGAAGGCATAAATCAAAAGACAGATTTGCCGTCACTTAGCGTAACGAGCACAACCGAAGCTACACTTATCGGATTGGGATGAAATTTATACCATTTCGAATCTAAGACAAAGGCCTACAACTTTAATGGAGACCACTCAGTCCAGTTTATAGTGTATCTAAGTCAAAATCTCAAATTATAGAACCAGAATCTCACATTCAGGCTAGTCAACCACACTATGCGTAAATGACAATAACTCAGGCTATCGAAGTCCAATCGAGACAATTCTAGGGGCTTTGGAAAGCTAAGACATAACACTACAACTTTCATGTTTTGGTCAAACACTAATTCAGTACACATCAGGGTGAACAGATGCGGTCAGATTGGTGAAATGTCAAAACTGTCCCTAAAGTTCTTCCTATGGCAGTCAGGGATATGTTTGTCTTTTCACATGGTACGGTGCTCAGATTGAGCTGAAATTTTACAGGTAACTATAAAATATCATTCTCTACAACTTTTATGTTTTATTCCAAGCCTAATTCGGCCTCCATCATGGTCGAACAGGACCAGACAGAACCAAGCAGTGAAGAGCTCTAATTCTGGAATTTAATGAATTTAAGGTGCAAACTTCATATTTCTAGCTTGAACCGCTACCTCAACCTCCTATCCAAGATTATATACACCATATACCACCTAAACAACAACAAATACAGTTAACCAACTCAACCCTAACTCAAGAACATGCACCATATCCATCCAAACCACTAAAATAACTACCATTTGGCACAAATATGCATTGTTATCCAACCTTAACCAAATTTAAGTAAAAGATAAGGAGAAGACAGCCATGTACCTGCCAAAAACTCCCTTGTAGGTGTGAAACCAAACACTTTCTTCCCAAACTTTTACCACACGCAACTACCTAAGCACTCAAATGAAGGTTTAATCGGTTTGGATTCATTGATTTTGCTCAAATGAAGGTGATTCAAGGTGAAACTTGGTGGTTGCTCACTTGGTTTCTTTTTCTCCTTTTCTCCTCTCTAAGTCACGGTTCTAATGTATAGAAATGGAGGCTAAAATGAAGCTTCAAGAAGGTTAAGAATATATTAATAAGCTTGGGTCAAAATTAAGTAGATTACCGCCAAATGTCGCTGTAGGATTCAATCTCAATTTTTTCTTTTCTTCCTTTTCTTTAGTCAACAAAGGTGGCTGGATTAAGGGATAATTTAGGGCTAATTAGTCAAGTAAAAACAAGGGAATTAAGATAATAAAGTGGTGGTCAAGTGGTGTAATCCATCGGTAGAGAACGGTACACGTCGGTTCAGCCCGATTTTCCTTAAATCGCATATACTAGGGTTTTAACTTATAATTCACTAACTTATTATTATCACCTCTAATCCCACACTTAATATCATCTAAAACTCATTTTTAATCACCAAATTTGACCCACACTTCGTATCGGATAGTCGCACTATGGATAGGCATAAAACCCTAATTCACGCTAACTTAAAAAACGAAAAGTGAAACCCTACTTTCTAGGTTCATTTGCACTTATTGTGGGGTGATTGAGTAGTAAAGCTATTAAAAAGGAATAAACTCCAAATAAAAGGACATTTAAGAAAAATGTGAGGGATTTTACAATTCCCTTGATTCCAGTTAGGGTTTCGGGTAAAATATGAGAGATTTGAGAAAACCGAATAGTCACAAGTAAAACTAGGATTTTTTTATTAGAATTTAGGGTTTCTAGTCTTTAAAACAAAACAATGTCTTAAAATAAAAATAAACTAAAGGAAGCATAATATTTTTTTTGAGACTAAACAACAATAGTATCCTAAAAGTTGGGGTATCACATGAAGGGTAACCAAACAAAGTGCTTCGGTCAATTCGGTGGTCTTGTCACTTGTGGAGCTTTGACTATTTGTTCCTTATGAGCTGTGAGTGTGACTATGAGTATGAAGACCAAGCTTTGGCCTTTGGGTTCTCTTCTCAAAGACTAAAGACTCTTCAGTGAAGACAATGAGACAAAATGATTTATTAGGCTCTAAAGACTCTTCAATGAATAGTCAGACTCTTCTTGAATGAATAGAAATTAGTCAATGAGACAAAAAGACTTTATTAATTGTACAGTTAGTTTTAATTACTAAATATTGTACAATATTTATAGAATTGATTAATTATATATAATATAATACTAAAACATAAATATTATGTATAATACCTATATATATAATTATATTACCAAAATATAAATATTATAAATTTTATCTATATTACATTATATATAGGGCCGAGCCTAGGGGTGTTAACGAATCGAATCGAGTTCGAATAGTAGGTTGATCGAGTTCGAGTTCGATAAAGTGTCTAAAGCTCGAGATCGAGCTCGAGATCGACGAATATCAATTTTACATGCTCGAATTTGATTCGTAAGAAAATCGTGAGGCTCGAGCTCGTACTCGAAATTGTTCGAATATGTATTCGAGCTCGAGTCTGCTATTCTTCGCAAGCAAAATTTGCTCTTTCATTCAGTCTTTTCATCTGTCATTTGCATTCGATAATTCAAGCATTCCCATAGAAATTTACAAAATCAAAAATTTCAAAATCCAAACTCATCCACATGATAAACTGGCTTGAGACAAACCAATTTTAAGTACCAATTTAAAGTCCAAAGCATCAATCAAATTGTCAACACTTTTCAGCCATTATGCCAACCAATATCCAAATTCATCTGTATTTTAACATCAAATCTAACATCCAAATTCAGAGATAAGTCACACAACCAACGTCCACCATGTCACACAAACAGGAAAAACAAAGCCAAAGTGTCAACATTCAAATAAAAAATGTGAAACAAATTTTGCAATTAAAGACAGTAGCATGCTGTCCATTCCACAATAATCTTTTCCAGCTTTTGCTTATGGATTCCAAATTTTCAACTCCAGGCCCTACATAAAATAAATAATTTAGGTAATTAAATAGTAGCGGTAAAATCTAAAATAAGATATTTGAAGAAGAATCGAAATATTAAATACAAACAATATACCTTTCCAATTATCACATTCATTTTATGGGAAGTAGAATCTCTTTTGCTGCCTTCACTTTCTACAAAATAATAATAATAATAATAATAATAAGTTAGAACATAACCATTTCACCACCATCTTATCATTGTACATCCCTATCAACATATATTTGATCTTACAAAAAATTGAGTACGCAATTATATATAGACCTCTAGATTTACGCCAGTTGCAAAATATACAAGTTACTGAATTGTTGGATGCCTCATTCTGTTGGAGACAAAGCTTCGGTGCAAGTTTTTTGCAGGGAACATATTTTCGATTTAAATACTTGGACCCTTACAGCATGTTACAAGTGTTTTAATACACATAATGATTATTAAAAAAAAGTCTTCTACTTACATAAATTGATAAATTACTTGTTAAATCTTCTTGAATCCTTCCAAGAAATTTATTCATGTTTCAAACACTATAATAAATAATTTTAGAAATTAATTCCAAATAAATATATTCATCCTTCAATCATTATAATTTAAATCATTGAAAACACCAAATTCTGAATTCAGCCATTGCAAATTCTTCCCACAACTTAATTAACATAATATTCAAATTAATTGTATGGTTGCAGCCATTGATCACCATCGATGAAAGAAATATTCAGAAAAGGTGTAGCTTGTGTATCATTGAGCTTTTGGGCATAAGGCACCCTTAGTCTTACAACCAACTACGTTTCGGTATTCTCAGCCCCAATAGACATCAAAGAAATACAGAAAGGAAGAGAAAAACTCAAGATCCAAGCTTCAAGAAATACCTGCTGCACGCCTGCACCTGCTTCAAGATCCAAGCTTCCGCTCGCCGCACGGCTGCACCGGCTGCACAATCCAAATGGGTTTGATTTGACAACAAATGGGTGGAGTTGGCAACAGCGAAATGAAACGGCTGGACTGCTAGAGTTAGCAACCCAAATGGGTTTGATTTGAAATTGGAATTAGGGATTGAGGTGAGGAATGAGGATTAAGGAATAGGGACTGAGCCACTGAGGTGAGGAAGCTCTCGATTCGTTGAAAGAAAGAAGATGGCGGACAAGAATTGAAGCTGCTTGACCTAATTAGAGTCTAATATGTGAATTTCTTTTTTTTTAGAATTATTTGGAAAGACAAGAAAACCCCTAATATATTTTGAATTTTAATAGGTAAAACATGTAATTAAGTTTACAACTATATATATTTAAGTAATTTTATAAATATAAAATTATATATATTTAAATATACCTTAAGCTCGAAAAGCTTGCGAGCTTGTCGAACATAACTTTTTAAGCTCGAATTCGATTTGTTGGAATATTCGAATAGTTCAAGATCGACTCGAGCTCGATTTGACCGAGCTCGAGCCGATCATTTGAACGAGCTGCTCGAGAACTATTCGCGAGCAGCTCGATTCGTTGACACCCCTAGCCGGGCCTATCGGGCTTGAGTCTAATAAAACCCAAGCTCAGCCCATAGGTAATGTGAGCCTAGTTTTGAGGTCCAAACTCAGCGGCTCACTAATATTGTAGGCTCATCGTGCTTTTTATCAAGCTGAACGGATCGGGTTCGAGCTGGCCCGGCCCTATTGACACTCCTAGTCGCGTTTTGCAATTTTTGTAATTTTTCTGCAAAATTTTTCAACTTTTCAAAATTTTGACTTTTACCCCAGATGCTCAAAATGCATCCTAAATCATCTTTTTGTCAAAATTATCAATATGCACACATGTAGAATGATCAAAACATGTATTTTACCCCTTTCTAACGAATCAAAAACAACTTTTACGCAAATAGAGGAATTGGATTCCTTGATCAAATTTCGCGTTTTTCACCTTATTTGGTCACTTTTGCTTCCATTTCCAATACCTACAAAATAAACAAAATAAAATAACATCAACACATATCAAAATGATAAAATCGCACTACATTGAAATAAAAACCAAATTATTGAGTTGCCTCCCAATAAACGCTCCTTTATAGTCATTAATTTGATTATTTCACCTCATTTTTCAAGGAGATTTTGTCAATGAATAATCCACAATTTTAGGATGTGATGGATCATTAAAAGGTGATTTAACAACAAAATACGCGTGTTCTAATGATGTGAGAGGTGGAAGTGGCTTACCTATCTTAAGTGCTTCATAGATATTAGCTTGAATGTGTGTCACTTAAGAACTCACCAAAGGAACATCCACTTGCGTTTCTTGGGTAACGACATCTTTAGAACCTATACTTTCAACACATTCTTCAAGAGGGGTGAAAAATGAATCATTGATACTCATCTACAAGAATATTATCTTATGAAATGGACATTTTTTCATTGAAACACACATTAGATGCATAATTTTCATCAAAATGCACTCCATTTTCACATGCAACATACTCACCATTCATGTTAGGGTCATTGTGCATATCATTAGAAGAAATAACTTCCCACAATACATGTAATTGATCTTGAATTCTACCAAAGTGAGAAGCTAATGCATCTAACCTTTCTTCAACCCTATCAAAATGGTCGGAGGTTGCATTAGTTAACTTTTCTATAGCGAATTCCCAAGACGGCTTAGAATCGTTAGCTAATGGTTCACTTTCTAATTTCTAAGGCAAAGATGCATTAGTTAACTTTATATTGCTAATTCCCAAGATGGTTTAGATTCAAATTGAACACATTTGGATTGATAATCATATAAATAAGGAGAAGTATTATATGCACATTGATTATCCCAACCATAAACATAAGATTGTCCCAATTAGAACTATTTTGACCAAAACAAGGATTGTAATGCCCAAATTTATCAAAATAATCTACATTTTATACTTGCCTATATGTATGAGTAGCATGATAATTTTCACACAAGTCATAAATCATATGATAAGAATTGAAAGCATTAGCATTTCTCTTTTGCTAATTTCATGCATAATGGTGTTCAATTGAACTTTTAACATTATAACATCAAATTTAACCTTTAAACATCTCAAACCATTATCAAATGACATACATTTGATAATTTATTGTTTACCTCTATGCTTAGAGCTTTGCATGTAGTAACCATTCGCTACCGAACTTCCACTTCTTATGCATTGTCCGCACATATTTTCTACTCTCCTTGAACCCCTAAACATGCTCCCAAAGTTGATCAAAAGCAAGTTTAGTCAAGAAGAATTAGTGACTTGATAAATACAAAACATACTAATAAAGACTCAACAAGACACTCGACACAACAAAAATAAGTAAAATAAGTAAAATGTCTAAACTAATAAAATAATTCTTAGCACCGATATTGACTAAATCTTTCCCGGTAACGGCGCAAAAAACTTGACAAGCGTGGGTATACATATATTAATTAGCTTATCCACAATCAAGTTTTACATTTATAAAATTCTAAATACCCCACATGCAATTTTTCGCAAGTATATGAGTCATTTATTGAGTATAAGGGTATTAAGTGTCAATCCCACAGGGAATATTATCAATTACTGATGTTTTTTAAATTTCTTTATTATTTAGACTATCACAGGTACAAGAAATTAAATCTACACTATAAAAGTAACAAAAATACAATAGAAAACTCCTAAAGTTATGGAATTCCTTACTACTCTTGCAAATGATATTACCGGTTAAGTGAATGCTATTATTTTGGTTAGTTATGGCATAATTTCCTAATGTATGTGAAATCTACTCTCGTAGTGAATCAACTATACTTGTAGTTAAGTCATACCTACTCTCGTGGTTACGAAATTAACTACAAACTTATTTTTTCTATGAAATTACATGAAATAAGTCACTAAAGGCACATAAGTGCACCTCTACTCTCGTGAGTGAACTCCCTAGGTTTATCACTTTCTTGAACTAGTGTTGAATTTTAATTCTCATTGCAAATTTAATCCCTTAACACTATCACAATTAATAGCCGTTTAATCATCATTAGAAAAGAAAAGTGATAAATAATTTACTCAAAATAATATCATCAAATAACCAAGTAAATATCATTAATAAGATATAGCAAGTTCATCTATAACTCTAGGTATAAACTTTAGAAACACATATTGAAACACAAATCCAAACCTTGCATATTAACCATACTTAAGAATCCAATGCAAAAGATAAAGAGTTGGAGAAGAGATAACCCTTGTCACATGAGTTTTAACCCCTCCTTCTTCATCTCCATCTTCATTCTAATCTAGCCAATACACAAGAGTAGATAACACACATAACTATCTAAATTATTCTATACTATACTGACCTAACTAATGAACTAAGGAAATTCTAATGAAGACTAATTTTTGGTGAGTTTCTCTAGCCTTCCAAAGTTGTAAAAATGGTCTCCAAAGGCTGCTATTTATAGAGGATTCAAGAGCCAAATGAGTTGTTTCTAATTGCCATTTTTTACTTTTGAAACTCCCATGAGTTGTTTCTTCAGCTTTCCACACTCTTCTTGGTCAGATACAACCGAAATTACTTGCTGGAATTGAGCTGGAAAGTTGTGTAAACAAAGAACAAGTTGCAGAGCAAGTTACAGTTGAAAATGATGAATATGCAACCTCGAAAACGCCACCTTAGTTCGTGTATTGTATCCCACGTATTGCCTTTTGCAGGTTGCTCAATTCTGAACAGATTTTATCCTTGCTCTATTTTTTTATCCAATTTCAACTGATATTCTCTTGATGATAGAGGTTGAACTAACACTTGTACAGAACATGAAAGTTGTAACACTTTGAGTTAGCTTTCCAATGCATCAAGAATCATCAAATTTGGAGCTCTGTGAACCAAGAAATGATCAAAATACTCTTGACTAGTTAGAACTGTAACGCCCCCACTTCTCCCTAAGGCGAACCAAAGGGTATCCGCGGAACGCCTGCCCAACTCTCGCCAAGACTCAAGCAATTTCCGTCCAATCTTAATACAATACTAGACGTTACGATTAAATATCATAAATACAATCAGTGCGTAAGCATTCAAGCTTATCAATATTCAACATCTGCCCAATCATTACATCGGGACCTCGAAATACATCAATATTCAAAATATACATCAATCACAAGTCTAGCCCCAAAGTGCAATGGAAACCCTAAAACAAGAGTACGCCAAGAGGGGGTTTCTCCAACATTTCTCCAAGTCCAATCCTGTTAAGGAAAACAAATCTACAGGGTGAGCAAAACGCTCGTGAGGCCAAGAATACATATGCAAGCACGTTGTTCAGGTAACAAGCCAAACTAACAGTTCAAGTGATACATTACAAGTAATTCATAAAACCAATGAAATGTAAACAGAAACAATTCAAGGATATGGTAGCTCTCAGGAGCTAAGTTCTACTTGCTTTGCCAGTTCATTCGTATATCTTCCCGCGATGACTCTCCGTCAACCGGGTTGATATTTCCAAACCGTAGATCACCACTTACTTCTCATCCGTCCACCCTACACCGCTTCGGGCCCGCACGACATTTATAAAGCTATACTCCATGAGTATGCCAAGCAAGATCTCTCAAATAGATCAAACTTATCATGTGATTCTCATGGCTCCCCAAGGTTCCCGACCAAGCCCATGCCGGCTCGAGTCCCAAGGTCAGCCTATGAGTTTGGGTGTCCCCCATGTATCATGTAAGTGTCAATGAGATTCACTCCAACGACGTATGCAGCCATAGCATACCATGTCATGTCATAAAGCATTCGACAGGTCTAAGTAGGTATTTCAAGTCATGTAAACCAGGTAAATCATGTTAAGTAAGAGTCATTTGTTTCAAATGAGAACGAGTGCGATAAAGTATACACCCGACTCCATATTTTTCAAAACCAAGGAGGCTAAGCAGGTAATTCGACAATCCAAGCATAAATCAAGTCCATAGAATTCATGTAGACACACATTTGACACTCACCAAGTTATGCGGGCAAGTAGATTCAACCGAGAGTTCAAACTTCCACCGTAGGATCCTCTTAAAGGTCCTTGTGCGTGCCTGAACAACGAATAGTAGACCATTACTACAGGTCCCCAAGTTGTGAGAAAGATTGAACACGAGTAGGGTTTGGAAATATTTTGAGAATTTCATTTGAGTTTGTCTTTGAAGTTGGATTCGCAAAAGGGTACAAGATTCGAGTAAAATCGGATTATGATTCTTGAAATCATTGGACGGAAGCAAGTACGAGTAAAAAGATTGCAAAACAAACGATCGAAATAGGAAGGAGGCGGGCCACGTCACAATCCGGCCGGATTCTTGGCCGAGTTGGAGGCAGTGGCTAGCCTCCATTTTTTTTTTCAAATCCCATCACCAATCCAGCCGCTAATCCGACCAAAAACTGGCCAGATTCAAGGCCGGATTCTGGTAGAATAGTTCCTGCGCAGATTTCTTTTGAAAGTTCCAAAGTTTTAGATTTTTGGTGCAATTTTTGAAAAATCATAACTTATTTTCTACGAGTCAAAAATTGGTAAATTTGGTACCATTGGAAACGTCTTCCAAAGTACTAAAATTTCCTAGAAAATATCTTTCCATGAATTTAAGTGGAAGGCACTCAAATTTTGGCTCAAATTTGGTAACTTGAGTTACCAAGGTAGTTTTAAGTTGGTTTTTGGCCAACTTTGGAAATTCGGAAAAATTCACTCGATTTGAACTAGCCTTTGAAATTTTAAAATCTATTAGAGTTGCAATCCAAGAGTATAACAAAATAAGCAGAATGATAACTGGAGTTTTGAGCACCGAGATATGGTGACCCAAAGTTACCAAAATTTCCTTGATAAACAAGGGTTTTTCAGCTTAAATCATGAACTTTGGAAGTTTGATTGAACATTGAAACGGCTTTGGAATAGCACCAAAATTGGTATGGACATACTAACATATGAGGGTTACTCCTCTACCAAATTTCATGAATAAATATGCATGGGAAGTTGGTGAACTAAATCACCAAAGTTTCAAAGTTTCCAAGGCAATTTGCCTTGTAAGTTCCGTTTTGCCGTTTTCAAAACGTTTAACCTAGAGGGTACCTCAACCATGGTCCATTTACATAGAAAAGGTCTAAGGGCATCCCAAAACAACATTTGTGGGTGATTAACACCAAGAAATTCAATTAACAAGTCTACACCAAGCCTTGCATCAATTCTGTCCAAAAGTAAGGGTTTTCAAGAGCAGGGCAAGTTCCATATTTTGATCACAACTCACTCAATTTAACTCCGAATTGAGCATGGTTTATGGAGTTAGAAAATATATCCATAGAGCTGTAATTTCACAAAAGAAATTGTTTTGAAATTCAGCACACAACTAGCTCGAATTCGAGCCTCAAGTCGCAGCTTTAGCATTGCATTCCAGGAAAACAGAGAAACAGAACAGCCAACTTTAAATGGTTGGTTCGGCTCACACACATGGAACCAGAATATGTATTTTATACCATTGGAAAGTTGGGAATGTCTAGTTTCAAATGCCTCTAACGGCACTCAATTTTGACATCGGAGCATAGAGTTATGGACGAAACAAGAAAGCTGGTCTGAGCATTACGGGAACAGTTTCCAGGTCTACTAGCTTCACAAAAATAATTCCTTTGACCAATCAAATCTCAATATTTTTCCATGAAATTTTGTACACTATCCATACAATATATAAACATTATATACAAGCCATTAAACCCTCAAAATTTCACAAAAAGGGGCACGATCAAAACAGGGGCAGAATTGGAACTTTTTCTCTCATGCACTCCTTGAAGTTTATACTAGCTATGCACTATTAATCTACCATTTTGAGCACTAAACCAACATTAAATCCATCATCAAGCACCACATCAGCCATCAACCCAAGAGTGGGAGTTCATAGAGCCCACATTCAAAATTTTCCAACAATAACAAGCCACCCACATGAATATCTAAACTCCCAAGTGTAAAACAACCTCCATAGGCCAAGATTAGAGTGTTGGATCATTACCTACTTTGGTGGGTGTACAAGAGCAGAATTTCGGTCCCTTGAAGTTCCAAGAAAACATTGGAAAGTGAGCTCCTTTGATAGCTAGATGAACTCTCCAAGTAACAAGCTAAGTGTGGTGAAAATTTGATGTGAAATGGTGCAAGTTTGTTGAGGGAAATGAAGAAAAAAATGGAAGAACTTGGGTGTTGTTCTTTGCTCCCCTTTGGCCG